AATAGGCATTAAATGAATAAACAAATTAATGAATTAAAGAATCAGTCAAGAGATGAGTGTTGTGTGGTTGACTAATTATAACAATGTGCCACTGAGTGAGGTGTGTGATTAACTCGGCCCTCTGCATCCCAGGTCCAAAAACACATACATTCTATGTGGGGGTTGAAGCTCAGACAGGAGTTAGGTCATTAACCTCCTTAGACTAGATTGAGCTGTTGGGCCTTGGTGCTCTTTCTGTCAACTATTGGTGAGGATATAGAAACACATCTGCTTTGTTAGTACCTAGCAGGACCTTAATCCTGGGAAAGGTCAGGAGGTCCGGTGAAGAGGTCAGGCCAGGGAGTGAACTCTATTACCTCAAATTTACAACCCAATACCATCCACATTATCTTGACATTTTGATTACCTTTGGTGGTAGGCTTTGTCTTCCAAAGATATTTATGGCCTAATCCCTGGAGCCTGTGAACACATTCAATGCATGGCAAAAGGAACTCGGCAGATAGAATGAAGATTAGAGACTTTAAAATAAGGAGATTACCCCCTAGATTGTGCTGGTGGGCTCATTACAATTATAGGAACCCTTACAAGTTGAAGAGAAAAGCAAAGTCAGACAGAGATTGGTGAGGACAGAGGAAGAGGCAGAAGAGATTTGAAGTTGAGATTTGAAGCTGGTGTTGGCTGATAAAATGATGAAACTCTGAGTCAAGGAAAGTGGACATCTTCTAGAAGCCAGGAACAGCTCTCAGTTGACAGCCAACAAGGAAACAGTGACCCTACCGTCCAACCACAAAGAACTACCTAAAAAGTAATTCTGCCGTAATGCCACCAAAAAGGAACACAGCCCTGCACTCAGTTTGATTTTAGACTGGTGAAATTCATATTGGATTTCCAGTTTATAAAACTGTGAGATAATAACTTTCTGTTGTTTGAAGGCACACGTTTGTAGAACTTTATTAGGGTGGGAATAGAAAATTAATGCAGATTTAGGTAGAAAATAATGTCTTGCCTAGATGACAGTATGTGTCAATCTTTCAGGACACTCATGCAATGATAAGCGTGAGTGTATACAGAGAACAGCAAGGGCTGCAGCAGATGTCCCCACAAGTTAGACACAACGTGATTGGCAGGCCAGGAGCCATAGGGACAGACAGTGCACTACAGCAGACGTGTCTGTCTGCCTCAGAGATGTGCCCGGGCACAGGCAAACCTACGATTAACCATTACATTAAAGATCTGTCCCATGAGTCCAGACTGCATGTCAGCTATCCCAGGAAACAATCATCTATAAGGTAAAGGTGTAAAGTACAAGTGAGGAGTTATAGTTCCAAATGTATTCCCAGAATAACTGAGGCAAAAAGGAAAGCCAGCAATGAACTTTAAGAAATGAAGAAGAGTCAGGAGATAACATCAGTAACACCTCATCACCTAAATTCTAGTACCCTTCCCCCTGGGATACCACCCTGTCTGTAGTGGTCTGGATGGTGTCCAGTTGCTCTAGAGATGGACCTCAGACCAGGCAGAGCCAATCAGAATCTTCCATCCTCTCTGTGTCACAGTAATTGGTCCACAAACGAGCCTTTGAAAAATCCAGCCAATGAGAGGCTGTCCTGGGATCTTTGCTACAACCTCAGTGTTTGAGACAGCATCTAGCACATAGTAGGCACAAACAAATATTTAATAAACATATGAACACTGAAGTGTGCTGTTATTCACTTGCAAGCAAATCAGATGTTTCAAATAGATGAGTTTATTGATGTCTTGATTGATGGTATCAATTATTTTCTCTCTAAATTTGCTTAATTGTTTTTTGGAAAGAGAATTTCCCTTGGTAGAATATAAGTTTTACCAGGACAAGGTTGACATTTCTATTGTTTCCCACTGTAGCCCTGGTGCCAAAAATTGGGGCACACCATAGGCACTCAGGAAATATTTGTTGAATGAGTAAATTAATAATAAATAAATAAATAAATAAATAAATAACTGGAACTCTTTTCATTCCCAGCCTCAACAATGTTGTTCTTTCTGAATGTTGTGCTTGGAGATTTCTGGGCCTTTAGTTTCCATTATGGTTCTTGGATTTGAGAATATGGAGCATGCTGATGTGCAACAGCCTCAGTTGAATTCAGTAAGAAAAAAGCACGGACAGCAGGCTCGCTCTGCCTGACATCCAGGAAGGCCCTGGCCAGCTGGTAGTATCCAGAGACACAGGATTCAGTCCAAAGCATTAAATATTTAATGCACATCATCTGCTAAGCTGAGCCAAGGCACATGGTAGGTAATTCACCTCTCTGTCATTTCAAGAAAAGCCCCTGTCTCAGAGTTTATAATAAATGTGCCACCAAGATTGCTGTCCTGCCATTACTCAGAATTTATAATTATGCAATATATCAGGCAGCTAAATAGTGCAGAAAATAACAAAACACTATGTCCCCACTGCCAAGAGTATGAAGACGTGCCCATGTCGAAACGTGTAAGACTGACTAATTCTCCCGGCTGATGAGTGTTTCCTTGTAGGAATAGAGGAATGTATTCACCTGTTGTTGGGCATTTGAAATTAACTGCCTTGTGATGGTGCCTCTCTGAACTCAGCATAGCAGTGAGAATTCATACCCTGAGGATGAAAAGACCTGGACTCAAATCCAGCTTCCTTAACTTTATTCTGTTACAGAAGTCATTTCACATTTCTGAGCCTGTTTTCTTATCTGGATCATCCAAGCACTTCTGAAAACTGGTGGGAGGAATTAGATGAGATGGAGGGGTGAAAAGTACCTAGGAGATTTTAAAACTCTGAAACATGTACACAGTTGAAAATTCCAGGGGTGTGGAACTCCCCATGCATTTCACCAGGCTTCATGCATCAGGCCAAACCTGACTCACCCCCCCAGGATTCCTTTCAGGGAGGCCCTGATTGTCTCTCTGGGCTGCGCTGACCTCTCCCTTCTTTGAGGTGACCTTCTGTCCACATTGCTTTCAAGACCTTAAACATAAGCTTCTGTTATAAGATAATTTCTAGCTCTGAGGTTTCTACCTCCACTGCCCCATGAGAGCTAAGGCTCCCTCTGCAATGGGAGAAAAGGCTATTGTTAGAAACCAGGGAGGAATTTTCCCAGGATCTCAAACTTTCCAGATACCAAGCATAATCTGATTCCAATTCAACTCTGCCCTGCCTTAGCACCACACCCACTAAAAACTTTTCAAAGTATAGTTGGCTAGATAGCAATATTTAATGTGAAACTAATTATATCTCACTGAAAAATAAATTCAATTTTGGTTGAAACTGTCACACCAAAATAGAGATGTAACGAGCAGAAAATTCACAAGAAACAATACAAAAATGCCTCTCAAATATATAAAAATTTACTCTCAATTAAATAAATAGTAAAATGATGTTGAGATATTATTTTTCACCTAATAGGCTGGCAAGCATTCAAAAGTAGGCCAATACCTTCTTTGGAGAATGGGCATCCTTATGTACAGATGGTGAGGGTGCTGATCAGTACAGCCCTTCTGGAGGGAAATTTGACAATACCTGGCACAGCTTTATATCCACTTACCTTTGGACCTAACAATCCCACTTCTAGAAATCCACTCAGACAAAACACATCCAGAAATACATGTGCACAAAGTTCAGTCATTGCTGCATGGCTTATACGTGCAAAATATTGGAAACAATAAAAACTATCCATACAGTTTAGACAAGAGTGGTTGACTAAATAATGGTCTATTGACACAGGAAGTACTATGCAACTATTAAAAAATAATACAGACAAGTGCTGTGAAGTAAACAGGGGTATTTTCCAGGATATACAATTAAATGTACAAGAAAAAAATAATCTGCTATCCTTCATGTAAGAAAGAAGAGGATCTGAGAAAATGCACAAGCATTTGTTTATTGCTGCAAAATAATTATAGGAAGACTGAAGCAGAGTCTAAAGAGATAGAGAGTACTGGGGAAAGATGTGGAAAGCAGCAGTGGCAGTTGGTAGGGGGAGGGAGGGGTACATCTCCCTGAGTAGGACTTGTGTATACTTTTGACTCACAGGACCATGGGAACATCTAATATGTCCTAAAATAAATACATGATTTGTTTGTTTGTTTGTTTGCAGGTTTTGGGGGGGGAGGGTTGGCCAGGGCTGGGTTTGAACCTGCCACCTCCGGCATATAGGGCTGGTGCCCTACCCCTTTGAGCCACAGGCACCACCCTAAATAAATGATTTTTTAAAACCAGGATGTTAGGGAGGCCAAAATGACATAAAAATAGTAACAATGAGCTTAACTAGATCACAAATGAATAACATGACCACACAAAAGGAAAAGGAAAGAAAAGAAAAGAAAAAAAAGAATTTGCCTAAGTAAATTTAGAAACTGTATTTTGACTGCATCTAATAAGGCAAAAGATTGTGAAGGGTTGTTAATTGTTAACTAACAATTATGAAACAATTTGAAACGAAGATTAAACAGATATGTAAGAGGTCATGACAGCCAGTTTTCTCATCAGCAAAACAAATTACAAATACGGGAGGGAGGAAAGCAAAAATAAACTCTGGTGATATAGGGAATCAGAGGTGCCAATATAGGGTGGTGCCCGTGGCTCAAAGGAGTAGGGTGCCAGCCCCATGTACCAGAGGTGGTGGGTTCAAACCCAGCCCCAGCTAAAAACTGCAGAGGTACCAAAACAAATCATATTTTAATAGATACATAGATAAATTAGATAAAGAGAGAGATACCCGTGCTTGGGTGTGTATAATGTAGGTTTCCAAGTTTTCTGTGCTGAAAGGACCTAAGAGAGATCCCAGTGCCCATAAACCCCTTTGAGGTAGAAGTGCAGTGTTAGCTAACATTTCCTAAATTCACTAAGAATATTCTCTGTTTGAAGTAAGTGGACATACTGACCCAGATTTGGGGATAAAATATTCAAATTGTATCTTCTAAGGGAACCTGTAAGTCATCCATGAGTTTCACATACAGAAAAGGAAGGCAAAGAAAATGCAAATCTTAAATACGATTTCTTCAATGATAGCTGGGTTTATTATCTGTAAATATGTGCCTCCCCGATGTTGGTGTACAAGAGCTTCAAGGCAGCATCCTCTGTCTTCATGATTGTGACAAATTCTTCCAGGAATCCTGGGAGGTTCACACTCCTGTCCCACCGTTAGACAAATTTTGTCTGAAAGCATTTATGGAAAGTCATAAACATCAGCTGGCAGGTCCTCATTTTGTCCTAGAGCCAGTTTGTCACAAAATGTGAAATCAGAATTTAGGAACATTTCATGAAGCCACAGGGATGTGTACGGAGAACGCCTCATGCCCCGACAAGCCATCTCTCCACTTCATCTCCAAAGTCAAGATGCTGGCGTCAGTCTTTTTTCCCATCTCAGGATGACGCAGCTACCTCCACGCACTGCGTGAGAAGAGAAGCTGCATTTGGCTCAGTGTTTTCTGGGGTTGCCTTCACCGCCCTGCTGCGCAGGACTTATCCTTACAAGGGAGACTGAGAAAGGCCTGGTGAGGTCCAGCTCCAAAGGGCCTTTGGGCGCTGCCCTCATGATGAGCCACAGAAAAAACTAAGTTCAGAGTTTCCAGGAGAGAGTAAGAGCCATAACGTGCACCAGACAGAAAGCAGCCAGCAGAGCTGACCTCCTGACCTGGTGGTGCCAGAGAACCTGGCTGGGGTGCAGACCCAGGCTGCTTCCCAGAGATACTCCTGCCCTTCTGGAATCCAGCAGTTCACTAAGGCACCAGAATTTCTCCAGGGACCCCACCCCCAAAAAGGCTTGGATGGACAAAACTGCTGTGTGAAAACCTTTGTTTGGAACACATGAATCATCCCTGGGAAGTGCCACATTCAGGACAGGCATGCCGTCCCCAAGTATACAGGCAGCACCATGTGAACTCAGCAGCAAAGTCCATCCTTAACATTGACCCCCCTCCTGCACCTGCCACGTGTCCCCGCAGAGCTAATCACTAGTCACGTAACTACTGGTCACCAACCTGAGAGCGAGGACCTGTGGTGTTTCTGCAGCTGAGCATTCCTGCCAAGCCGGGGACTGAGGTCAGCGGTGTTGGGAGTGCGCGTTTCTCCGCGGGCAAAGAGCTATTCTGAGTCCCTGCCAGGGGAGGGAAGAGAAGAGAGCTTACCCTGGCCCCAGCTTGACAGACTGCAGGTAGGAATGGGAGGCGGGAGACTGGAGGCGATAGGTGACTCTATGCTTTGGGGAAAACAGTGCCCATAACCTGACCCCACTTCTTGGATCCTAAGCACCACACGATATGTCTCAGAGCTGCGACAATAAACATTTTACTTCCGCCACTCTCTCTCCTCACTCCTGGAACTGCAATGGTTTCGATTCCAGGTATTTCAGGTAGTTCCAGGTAGGGAAGCTAACGATTTAGAGCGGCCAAATTTGCCTCTGCAAATCTGCATAGCGACCATCCGGGACAGGGCGGCTCCGCACCCCAAGGAAGCTCTCCGCGTGGCACCAGCGTCCTCTCAGATCTCTCCAACAAAACTCAAGTTCAAGCTCCCTCCGCCCCGCGTCCCGCGGAGAAGACGCGCACTCCTGCCTTACCTTTGCAGGGCGGCGCGCACAGCGCCAGACTCTGTACCCCAGCGCCCTGCCGCCGCGCCCTGGGATGCGCCCTGCATCCCAGTGGCTCTTGATGGTCGCTACCCGCCCCCCGGCGACAGCTTTTCTCCAGTCCCTGCGGCCACTTGCCTCTCGCAACTCCCCCCACCCCCACCCCTAGCCAGTGCACCCCAAGTACAGGTGAAGAAAGTGAAGCCCACGAGAGGACTGTCTCTCCAGGGAGAATCCCTCTCCAACCGGAGTGCGAGGCTCCGCAGGCGCCCCGGGCACGCCCACCCCGGGGCCCTAAACTCCGTTTCGTCTGCCTCCTCTTGCCTCGGCTCTCAGCCCAGCAGCCCTGGGGAGTTCGGACCGATCACTGCGTGGAAGGGAGGGAGGAAGAATCGCTTTGGTGATCCTCTGCGAATGTCTGGGATTAGATAGGACAGGGTATAAGCGGGTGTGTGTGCGTGCGTGTGTGTGCGTGCGTGTGCGCGCGTGTGTGTGCGTGTGGAGAGAGAGAGAGAACGTGAATGAGAACGACAAATCTGTAAGACCACACCAGCAATTCCTAATTCTTAAAAACAAAAGTTTCTTCAAGAAAAGAATTGGAGAACTGGAGAGTTGAGATGAAGTGAAAGTAATTGTGACTGCAGGAGGTGGGATACAGCAGGAAAAAAATGCTTCCGACCAAGAAGGTTAACTGTGAAATATTCTTACAGTTCTAGAAGATAGCAGAGGATGTTCCCTTTAATGAATTACCCTAATCCCTCAGTTCTCCACTATGTTTGACTACTGCTGACAAGACCGAGAAAAGGAAGACGTCTTAAAATAGACGCGGGTTGCCTGTGGCTTCATAAACTGTCAGGGACGATTATTTTTGCAGCCCCAAAGGCTGGGGAATTGTTAAGTCTAGTGAAATATTTCTAGCCTCCCAAGATCAGTGAGAAATAAAATATGATCCATTATTCCCGGCTGAGGGATCCCGGCCACTGGGCCCTCCCTCCTTTTTGTTCGGTTTCTTCCCTGTAACCTGGAGGGTGCCTTTCCCTCCCACACCTCCCACAGAAGAGGAAAGAAAGAAAAATCCAAATGCCTGCTGGTGGAGTGACTTCTCTGATCCCAAGGACTAGAGAACAGGAGGGCTGGAGAAGCAAGGGTTTGGAAGGAAGAGGAGAGACTGAGCGGAAGACAAAGAGATGAAGGGGCCGCTGCAGCCTGTAAGCAAGGCAATGCTGAACTCCCCTGGAGAGAGCCGCCCTCTGCCCTCTCTGCAGTGCTGTTCCCTGGAAAGGTGTCCCCACTCAAGAATCTCAGACCGAGAAAAGCACCACCAACAAAGCAGTGAAGAGTTTAAATATCTTTGGAGAATGTGAAAAGACAACTTCACCTTCTAACCAAGTTGGAAAGTCTGCAGAAAACTGGGCAGAGATGGCCCCATCTCCACACAGTGCTGGTGCCACTTGCTGTGCTTTTTTTCACATGGCTGTTCTGAAGATCAAGTTCAAAAAGATACACGAATGTTCACAGAAAAGTTATAAGTGCTGTTCAAATATAAGATCTCTACTAAGAAAATAGTATTTTAAAAAACTTCATACAGTTGTGTGAGGGAGAGGTTCTGAGAAGATCATGGTGGCTTTAGTGAACGTAGGAGATGGTCTCCTAATCACAAGCAACTATTAATTTTGCCTAAAGTTCGTTTACTCAAGTACATCAAACACCTTTCATAAATGCTTCGTTTTTTAGCAAACCCTCTGATTATACAATAAATAAAGATTCAGTTTGCCATTACTGCGGCCTAGGCTAAGTCATTTTTACTGGGCGAGAATTTTAAGTAGTGAAAATAATTCAAAATGTGTTTCAGTATTTTATGACAGTAATAATTCTGGGCTATCGGATATGGGATTTCTGGGAGGTCCAGTGATACAAAAGAAATGGTGGGAAATTGTGCAGGTGGATTAGCATTCTTGAAACCAGTAATAATGTTAAACGCAACCAAAATTGGCAGAGTAACTTCCCGACATGGCTGCAATTTTATTCCTCACTCTCCCCCAAAAGAAATACAACACAAAAACATGCTTGCCAATTCTTAAAATTCTCAAGTGACCTGACAAATGTTAAATATCCTTCTTTCATATGATGCTGAGACCTTGGCCACTGCTCCATAAAAGTCTCATCTCATTACAGCATTAAATCAACTCAGAAGTCCAGAATCTCCTCTGACTAAATCAGATGAGGATCTGTAGCTTCCCTAAATATCCCTCTTTGTGTACAATTTCTCTCAATGTATAGACTTTTGAAACTGAAGATGTATCACCTGATCTTTATCCCCAGGATCCAGCATACAAAGCCTAAAGAAGGGTAGAATAATCACTGTAGATATTCCTGTCTAAAAAGAAGGAAAATGAGATGCTTAAATGAGTAACTGTTTCATAACAACTCTGAAGTGCAACCAGGTCTATACTGAAAGTTTTCTGATTAGGGCCCAAGGCTGGGAATAACTCCACATGGCTCCCAGCCCCACCTTCTGAGTGGCAAAATTAAGAAAGAAAACATATATTTGCATCTGAGTTGTTCTCTCATCTTGCTTTCTACCTGTAGAATTTGCAGGATACAAATACTGTATTTTATTTTGTATTTTCAATATAAAATGCTCATAACATTTCTGCTAATAAAATTCTCCCAAACTCTTCATGGACTTCTAGTAAATCACTTGGCGTCCACTTCATTAAATACATTAAAACAGAGCCACAATCATGAACGTATTCTGTATAAGCTACATTCTCATTACCTCATAGAGTCCCTATAGTTTGATAGGCAAACTCTAAATCTTCCTAAAGGTCCTTTTGTATACTGAATAATTCTCTAATGTGCCACCTTTGAACTTGCTAAGGTCTTAACAACCGTTCTTATGATCAAACCTTCAGTTTTATCTTAAGTCAGCATTTTCCTTTTTTCTTATTAAATGATAATTATGTACATTAATGCAATTCTGGGGTACAGTGTGGTATTTTCATATACAATTTGAAATATTTTCATCAAACTGGTTAACATAGTATTCATGTCATTTTCTTAGTTATTGTGTTAAGACAATCATATTCTACTCTTAGAAAGATTCACTTGTACCCTTGTAAGATAAACCATAGAAGTGATCCCTCCAATCACCCTCCCTCCACCCATTCTCCCCTCCCTTCTCCCTACCCCCTCCCCATACACTTAGGCTGTTATTAGGTTATAGATTCCATATGAAAGGTATAAATTAATTTCATAATAGGGCTGTGTACATTAGATACTTTTTCTTCCATTCCCATGATACTTTGCTAAGAAGAACACTTTCCAGCTTCATCCATGTGAACATGAAGGACATAAAGTCTCCATCTTTCTTTATGGCTGCATAGTATTCCATGGTGTACATATACCACGGTTTGTTGATCCACGGTTTGTTGTTGTGGATCGGTGGGCACTTGGGCTTCTTCCATGACCTGGCAATTATGAATTGAGCTACAGTAAACATTCTTATACAAATATTTTTGTTGTAATGTGATTGTTGGTCTTCTGGGTATATACCTAATAAAGGAATTGCAGGATCAAATGGCAGGTCTATTTTTAGTTCTCTAAGGGTTCTCCAGATGTCTTTCCAAAAGGAACATAGTTTGCATTCCGACCAGCAGTGTAGGAGTATTCCCTATTCTCCACATCCACACCAGGATCTCTGGTTTTGGGATTATTGTGATATGGGCTAATTTTACTGGAGTGAGGTGATATCTCAAGGTAGTTTTGATTTGCATTTATCTGATGATTAAGGATGGTGAGCACTTTTTCATATATCTGTAGGCCATGCACCGATCTTCTTTAGAGAAATTTCTTTTCAAGTCCCTTGCCCACCCTGAGATGGGATCACTCGTTCTCTTCTTGCTAATAC